AAAAAAAAAAAAAAAAATTAAATTCATATATTACACAATAAAAAAATCATTGACACATTCTTTTTTATCTTATTCTTAGATTTTTTTTTTTATGTCAAAACGAATAAATTCAATTCACATGAGTAATTATTTTTTATAATTATTAATAATTATTATAATTAACAAAAAAAAAAACAAGCTTTTTATAATAGCTAATGTATTCGTTAAATTTATCAATCTCATCACACAAACACATACAAATCCATTATTCAATTATTATTATAAATATAATATATTAATATAAGTATGTATATGTTACCGGCAATGTTACGAAAAACCTAGGCATTGTACATAATGCCTAATGTTTTTAAACAATGTACAAAATATAAGAATTATTACATACTTTTATTAGACATTATATATAATATCTATAGAATGACAAATGCTATTTAGACAAAGTATGGTAAAAAGACGTCATAAGGTTTTTTATTTAAATGACGTGCATTCCTGAAAAAAAAGAAACAAATGTTACTCTGAAAAAAAAAAAATAAAAATATTTAATATATAATATAAATATGATAATAAATATAATTTAATATGTATATAATAATAATAATAAAATAAATAATAATAATAATAATAATAATAATAATAATGTAAATATATAAAAGCCGTGATATTCGAAACGAATCAGAGACGTATTTTATACTTTGCTGGCATTCTATAAAATACCTTAAAAAATGTGTGAAATATGATTATATTAATAATGTTATATATATATCTAATAATGTTATATATATTATCTGTAAAATGCCGGATTTCGAATTTTACCGATAACATATGTATAATCAATTGCTGTAAGTTTAATTTTAAATCATAATTAAACGATAACTTATAGTGATTTAGTAACGATAATAATAATACTACTATTACTACTAATAATAATAATAATAATACAATAGTATTAAAATACTAATAATAATTTTAATTTCAGTGATAATTTGTTTACTTACCCAATAATCAAAAGTAATACCAAATAAGACAGGTGGAAATGTCATTGATAAGAAATTTATTTTCATATTTCTTCTATTATTATAATTTTCAATTACGAAATTGTTATAATATTTTCTTTTTGCAGAAACAAAAGAAATGTTTAAAACTTTGTTCAATTAATTCTTATTTTTGTGTGTTTTTTTTTTTTTTTAATATATAAATTTACAATTCAAAACTTTCATTCGTTTCGATTAACATTAAAAACTGTTAAATTGTATTAAAACGATAAAAATATTTAAAACCCAAAAAAAAAAAAAAGAGGAGAAAGTAAAGAAAAGACAAAATGTAAATTATAACAATATCAAATTATTTACCACATTAACACAATACCTATAAACTGTTAATTCAGAAACATATTAACTTCCTTGAATGTCGACTGAATACTAAACCGAGCTTGAAAACTGACATCATATTTACACTTCCAATCATCGATGGTGGGGCATCTGAAGTGAAAGATGTTGCAATAATTTTCTGACTAAAGTCTAAGAAGTCAAATACAATTACCTTTTTTTTTTTTTTTTTGTTAACTAATTAACATTCATAAAATAAAAATACAAAAATCAAATGAATAATGATGGTGAAGAAAGAAAATTGATTTTTCATTTGATTATTATTATTTCTTTTTTTCTTTCTAAAATAAAGCTACAATATAAATGACTTAACTTGTTGTCTCGCGCAAGAAAAAAAATATTTATTTTTCGAAGAATAAAACAAATGAAATTTTAATTCATCAGCAAAATAAGTTGTGTCTTAAAAACTCATTAACAATTTTTAATACGAAGAGAAATATTTTTCTCATTAATTAACATTTAAATAAAACAGATTGGAAGAACAAAATAAAAATAAATCTTTTATTTATACTTAATTAACGATTAACGCGATAAGTTATTTATTTCATAAAATGAAAGATAATAATAGAAAGAAATTTATCACCAAGAATATGTAATTCAATATGGAATTATTAATAATGTAAATTTAATTATTTGTTTGAAAAAAAAAAAAAAAAAGAAAAAAAACATAATTTTCATTCTGTTTATATTGCATACTGAAAAAAAAAAAAGTATTTAACATACCAATATATTTGAATATATAATGTAGTCAACATATTCCTTATATAAGAAGAGATCGAATAAAATATACTCATCGACAAATAAAAAATCAATATCTAAACTACTCAATGTATATATACATATATATTTGCGTGATAAATAATATGCTAAAAAATTTCTTCTGTTCAATATTCTACTTCCAAAAAATCTATTTACATTTCTTGTTTTACAAGGTCAATATTAGGTGAATTAAACTTGGATATTTCATAAAGTATGTTTTATTCACTTTATTCTTTTCTCCATCTTTGTCAAAAGCTAAATCTTTGTAATTTATTAAGTGTGTGTGTGTGTTATTTAATTCATAATTATTATATTACTTGTATAATAAATAATATTGATTTTACAATAGAATATAAATGTTTACTAATAAAAGAAACTTAACATATTCTATTAATACAAATTCACCATTTTTTCTACTATATTTCCTATCAAATTAATATAACATACTCTAGAAAGATAGAAATAAAAAAACAAAAAAAAAGAATAAAGTTAAATGAAATATACTTTACAATAAATAAAAAAAATACAAAAATAAAATAGATTAAAAAAAAAAAAAAAGAGTCTTTGAATCGAGACTCGATCGTTTGATAAATATTTATTTTATCTTCGATCATTACTTCTTGAATATTTAATCTTATCAATAAAATTTAAATGAACATAATTATATGAAAATAACTAAAATAATATATGAATTAACGAGAGGCGAGTCGTTAGAGCATGAAATTGAAATTTGATTCATTTTTTCATCATTTTCAAAGTCCCTTTGCTTCGTCATTTTTCTATTTTTGGCTATTTTCTATTTTTGAAAACTTATTGTTCCTTTAATAGAGTAAATATTGTATCTCAAGAACAAACAACTTTCGCTTGGAAGGTCATAAAACGAAGGAACATGTATATTTTCTGTTTCCGGATTTGCTACAGTGCAGTATAGGTAGGTATAGAAACTTGAAGAATAGTTTTTTTTTTTTATATTTGAGATAAAAATTTCAATCTTATACTTTAATAAATCACCTCTCGTATATTCATATATTACTTATTGCTAATTGAAATATGCAATTCAGCTTTTTTCATACTTTAACAAATCAATATAATTATTTGTGGATCTAGCTAATTATTTCACGAATTAACAAATGTCACAAAGTAACAATATAACATATATAAACGCATTTTTTTTTAATTTTTTTTTTTTTTTTTTTGACGTCCAATTATCCATATAAGTTAGTTTTATTTATTTGGAATAAAGTGTTATTTACATTGCACAAATATATCTTATTTGTGTATACAAGAAGACAAGTAAACCATTTAATCACTGAAAGTTATACATAGTGGAAACAAAGGCATTTTTAAGAAGCACCATTAGAAATTAATTAGACAAATGTATTCTTATTCTGCAGCAGATATTATATTTGATAATATATCTGTCAAAATATATATGTATTAAAAAAGAAATAAAATAATAATAATAATTGCAAATAAAGTAAATGACAATAAAAATTTGTCTTTTCTATTTAATAAATTTTTTATTTCAAAATGATAATAATAATAATAATAATAATAATAATAATAATAATAATAATAATAAAGTAAGATTTTTAACAATATTTATTATAAGCACAGGAACGTATAGTATTTCTCAGACCAACTCTGTACCAAACAAAAATCCTTACAACTAAAATAGTGATCCTAATTGTTAATTAAACCTATTTCCTATCTCTTTCTCTCTTTCTCTTTTTTTCTTTCAACGCATCTTAAATAGGAGTTGCAAGCAAGCAAGCATTAATACGATCTTTTAAATATATCATATTTTCGCATTTAGTATTTCTTTTTTTTTTTTTTCTTTTTTTTTTTTCTTCTTTTAAAAAAACAAATATTAAAGTAATAAAAAAATATTAATCACATACGTAATCGAGATATATAATTCAGTCGTAAGATTACAAAATATATTATAGAATCGTAGATTCATTTTTCTAATAGATATTATATGATAATTAGCAATTTACTATGAAAAATATAAATGATAAATATATCGATTGATAGTGATCTATTATAATGTACTACCGACATATTATCAAATAAACATTTAAAAAAATTATATTTAAAATTAAATTAAAATAATAATAATAATAATAATAATATTAATAATAATAATAATAATAATAATAATTAATAATATTAATAAAAATAATATAGCAGTAGCGATCATATATAACGACAATGCGAAATATCGAAATATAGGCAATACCACGCGCGTTCTATGTTATTATTAATTTAATACAAATATATATACGATGTCTCTTTACAAAAGACACATATTTTGTATTCAGATTTAATTTGTATTCTTAAGTACTGGATAAGAAGACAGTCATTGTTATACATGTATATATATATATATATATATATACAGAGTGGGGCAATAATTCTGTCCACTTTGAATATCTCCGTTATTTGTAATAATATGAGAAAATTTCTAATAATCACAATGATTATCATAAATAATAAAATACGGTCAAAATAATCGGACTGTATTAAGTAAAAGAAATAGTCATCACAATATACCCTCCCTCTATATCATGCACAAGTTCTGTATCAAATATTTTCTTATATTATTATAAATAATGAAAATATTCAAGATAAACAGAGTTATTGTCCCATCCTGTATATATAGAATATAATCGGTTATTGTAAATTATCTAGACACGTTTACATTTAATACTTTGCAAATATATATTTCGTTATTTATTTTGTATTGCTTCTCTTCAAAATTGTTTTTTCTCATTACTTTCCTCATTAATTAAATCATCACCACTTTCAATCTATCAAAGCTATTTTTATCATCATCATCATTGTCATTATAATAAAATACAGATATTATACTCGTGGACCTCGATAAGATTGTATTGAACCTTTCAATTTAATCGGAAGATATCACATGTATTACTAGCAATGTATGTAGAATTTACGTATACGTATATATATATATATATA